CTGGACATGTTCAAAAGATAGGGCATTATTATAATTTTGAAGAAAATGTAGAGGAAAGAGGAATTACCAATTAATAACGAAGTTGTCTGATTCAGTTCTCTAAAAATTTGTTGAAATCAACAGCTCTTTTTCTTTGCACAGTTCTTTTACCAAAATTTTTCTTAGTTATTACTTTAGTGGCATTTTTGTCTTTCCAGTAATAGAAAAGTATCAAAGTCTCAAATACACTTTTTTATTCCATCTTCAAGAGTGTACTAAACTGACACATATCATTTGATCCCAACCTAACTTTTGTCTAAAGATGGTTGAAATGTAACATTTCAGGGTTTGTTCATAAGTTAATTGTTTTTTTTTTAACTATTCTAATATATTTATGCACATATCCGATGTTTATTCAGTTAACGAAGTTGTCTGATTCACTTCTCTAAAAATTTGTTGAAATTAACAGCTCATTTTATTTCGCACAGTTCTTTTACCAAAATTTTCGTAGTTATTACTTTAGTTGCATTTTTGTCTTTCTAGTAACAGAAAAGTATCAAAGTCACAAATACACTTATTTTTATTCCATCTTCAAGAGTGTACTAAACTGACACATATTATTTGATCCCAACCAAACTTTTTACTGAAGATGATTGAAATGTTACATTTCAGAATTTGTACTTAAGTTAATTGTTTTTCTTTAACTATTCTAATATATTTAGGCACAAACTTAAAATTAACTATTTTAACTATTTTCTAATTGTAATAATTCAAGACATAAATCATGTAGAAACTCGTCAAATTCATTAATCGATAAATTTTGCTTATTTTTATAAACTTAAATAAAAAAAATCAGTAAAAAATTAAATATTTTCTTTATTAATTTCTAATTTTATCTAAATATAAGCTACAAATAATTGAACAATTAAAGATACAATCACATTTTATATGTTACAAATGTTCCCTCGTTTCCGTTTTGATCGATGCATCTGCAAGTAGAAATATAATTTAATTTATATATTATCTATATTCATTATTTAATAAAAGATAACTTACGCTTTGCAAGGTGCTTTATTATCTTTGTTGCAGAAGAATCCCTTGGCACACTGGAAATACATATTCTTGCAAATTACAACATCCGAACTATAGCATTTCCAGTCTGCTGGTTCACGGCATACTCTATCGACACATCTAATAAATACAATTTATTAGGTGTTGTTAATTGATTTTGATTTTAACTTACGGGTCGCAGGGTTGTTTAAAATCAACATTGCAAACTTTGTTCTTTCCACATTCGAAACTACCAACCTCAGTGTGAAATATAGTCGAATTATCCCCACAGGTAAATTTTCCATCACAATTTGTTGAATACTCAACACATCTAAAAATAAAATTCAAATTAAAATCAAAATTTTATTAATTTCCTCAGAACTAACGCATCGCAAGATGTGTGCATGTTATTGCATTTCTGGTTTTCCGGACATCTAACTTCCATATCATTGAAGTCAGTTAATAATACAACTTGTGGATCATGTTTAACACATTTGTATCTTGGATTATCACAACCTATAGTTTCTGCTGATCTACAATATTGCAAACAGCAAACAAATAATACAAGATCTGAAAGAGAAACAATGTATTAATTTGACTTTAAATCGAACATTTTTAACTTACATTTCAAAGCCATTTTGTCATATGTTGAACGAATGCTACAAATTTCATTTGTTCTGCTATTATAGGTCTTTTATACAAGAAAATATATTTGCCTACTAGTTTTAAGCTTACTAAATTTATGGGTTGGGAAAAAAACATAAATGCGTGTTAGATGATAATCCGATTTTATTAACTGCAATTTACCTCCTTAAATAAATATTTTCAACATAATAAGTTAATAACATATTTATATGCTTGTGTATTACTAAAATAGTTGTTATTCAACACTGTTATTTCAACACTTCTTCATATTTCCTAAATAAATTTATTATTATCTCTTAAAATTTACTCAATAAAATAAAATTACATATGTATTTTGCGTAGAAGTCTTTCCATTTAAATTCTATTAGAACAAATAAAACTTGCTTGAAAATCTCGAAAAAATCGGTAGCAACAGTTAAGTTCAAAAAATGAGGTACCAGCAACCATAAAAATATATAAACTGAATTGAGTAAGACTACAATTCAAGAAGATATTTTAATAAATAAAACTTCATACATATTGTATTATCTGAAAAAGTTAAAAAAAATGCGTACGAGAATTGTAACTGTATTATATTCATCTCTAAATAAGAATTTAGACTAATTTGAGGAAAAATTTCTGCTTCTTAGACAGACAATATCTTACAATTGGCTCTTTGCTCTAAAAAAGTTGCAAACCTTTGATAATAATATAATGTTAGTTCTCTATAAAAATATCATAATTACGAGAGTAGTCCCAGAAGTACCCGACCTAACAAAGAAAACAAAAAATGGAAATAAATATCTCAACATAGTCTTCTTTTAGTTCGATCTCAGCAATGTTCAACAGCTTCGGTACCCTGTTTATAAGAAAAACCGTCAAGCTCTACAAATTGGCAAATCACCACCAAGCTATTTTTTTAAGTTTGGACTAGCGTGGGCTAGCTCTGGCGAATAAGGTGCGTGAGAAAGCAATTCGAACTTTAATTCATTTGTTTTGGCCGTTGTGATAACGTATGTGTGAACTGGTGCATTGTCTTGATTCTGACCAAACGAGACACCCATCTTACACAACATCCTCATCTCTAAATTGTCAGCCAATATGCGATGCACAGCACTTTTTGAAATTCCTACCATGTCTGCTAGCTCGCGCACATTCAGAGGTTGGTCATCCAATAATATTTTGTGAATTTTCTTCACCTATTCTGGCGTGGTCACCTTATCTGTTCGACCACTGCGATGTTTGTCTTGGCAGCTCGTACGACCTCATTTAAACTCAGTCACCCAATATTTTTTATTGTAAACAAAGAACCAAACTCCCCAAGAGTAAAATCTAGTTTGCCATGATATTGGTTCGACTAAGATCTTTTAAATGAAAGTATTGTATCGCATAATGATGACCATTTTTTTCCATGTTACAAATTCACTAAGAGCGTTCACTATTGATGACTGTCAAATAAATACTAAACAACGTAGCATCTTCAAACTTAAATTTTAAAAACTTTATGATCATAGTAGTTATTTTAAACCGCCATTTATATGTGAAGTCGGGTACTACCAGTAAAGCTTCTAGTTTGTGTTTAAAAAGTGAGTGAGTGCAGACAATCTGAATCTAGAATCTAAACCAGGGAGTTGTGTCCTACTACTAAGGGTACACACCATCGAGGACAATGACAGATTGAAACATATCATTCACAAACATATTCCATCGAGGATATCCTTCTTAAAGAAATTCCATGGAGAGCAATGATCGATAAGAACATTGAATTTATGACAAAGAAGGGTTGAATTCCAATATTTTTTCATAGATACATAGATGATGATTTGCTTAACAAGAATTCAATTTTAAGGCAGTTCGCCAACATCTGTTTAATTAATTAGTTTATAATATTTTATATTATATAAGTATGTATATTTTTCGATGTTATAATTTTTCTTCCGTAATTTCAGTCTCGACATTTTCAACCTGTTGCATGTAATTAAGATTTTTAGAAAAATAATCTCTCTAAGGTAATAATAATACTGGAATTTAATTGCTGATGTTTATCATTATCATCACCTGCAATAAAGTTCTAATGAATTCTAAACGTTTCTAAATTCCAATCTTTTCGTGTGCATTATACCGCCGAATTTACAATTTCAATAAACCAGTTTTTCTTTTTATTAGAATGCTATGCGCCTGTAGGCGTTTGTCCATATGGTACTGTCCATATGGTACCAAAACATTAACATTTTTTACTTCTAAAACATATTAAGTTTTGCATATATTTGAAAATTAATGTCTTGTTTATTTAAATTATCATATAATTAATGAAAAAGTAATTTCAATTCTAAGCTGCAAAAATCTTTTTCAAAAACAAGGAAAATACATAAAATATTATACAAATAATATGGACAATTATTGCAATAAACAAAATAAATATATAAAAATACATAAGAAAAATATAATCTGTACTAAATGTTCCATGTAATGGGAGTTTATGACGTAAGTTAAAGGTAGAGAGGAAGGAAAATAAGATACATTATCTCGGTGTATATCTCACGTACCTGATTACAAGTTTGTTTTGAAATAGCAAAAATTTGTTCGAGAACCAAATTATTGTTCGCAACTCGATTTTTTTTATTAAATTTTTATTGTGGAACTGATTTTTTTAAGTTCCAAGGCGTCGATGAAGTGAATTTCCGTTGTATATAAATTAAATAAGTAGGATTTTGAGTATATCATTTTATATAAAAAGAAACAAAAATACATAAAAACTTAAAAATTATATAAACCAAACGCAACATATGAATAATATATAAATACACAACTTAATTGACTTTGACTAATCTAAATATTCCATGTAAGGAAAGTTTATGACGTAAGTAAAAGTTGGGATTTCTTAGTAAATAATAAATTTGTTCGGAAACCGAAATTTTGTAGTATTCTAGAAATTAATTGTTTAGAAAGGCGTCCCAGAACCGAAATTCTAATGTAAATAAAATAAGTATTTTTTGAGTATAAAATATTATTAAAAAAAAAACATAAGATTTATTGTGAAGGTGAAAAAACGTATACAATTTGCAAATATTTGTTAAATATTCATTTTGTTACTATTAAAATTGGACAAAAAATACCGGTATTTTCAGTAATTCTCAAATAATTTAATATATGTATAATTAACCGGTTTCACTTAAAATATTTACCGGTAGAGGAAAATCTCGGGAATTTTGTATGATCTAATTAGAACTAAATCTTCTATTTACATTAATCTAAATAATGACATTTTTTTAAGAAACACAAAAGAATATGTTGGAGTTACTATATTTATTTAATTATGTTTGTACTTAATACATTTCCAACAATATCGATACATCTTTCAAGATAAGTATTTTATTTATAAAATGACAACCTTCTGGCATAATGACGTTCTCTATAAGAACTGATACATCTGAAATTACAAAAAAAAAATAACGAAATTTATTTATTTTCTTTTAAAAACAACCACACAAAAACTTACGGTGTACACGGATATTTATCCAATTTATTGCAGAACGTTCCCTCGGGACACTTATGAAAAGAATCGTTCATAATAAATAAGTTTTCTTTGATGCACGTCCACGGATATTTAGGCTTACATGTTTTTTTCACACAACTGAAACATATTTTATTAGATATTATTGCAAATTACCACAAACTGTAACTTACGGTTCGCAGTGATGTTCGTATTTCGCATTACAAATATAACCGTTTTCACACTTAAATTCGCCAGAGTCGGTATAAAATTTGCTTAAATCATTTTCGTTACAAAAGAACGCATTTTCACATTTCGGAGGTATATCGATGCAACTGAAAATTTTAAATTAAATAAAAATAAGTTAAATATTATTTAAGGTAACTCACGGATCGCAAGGCAATAAATATTCGGAATTGCATTGTTTTCCAGCTTCGCATCTAATCACAGATCCATTCAGATTCACAACGTTTTTATCATGTTGATTGCAACTAAATGATGGTTCAATGCAGGTTAAAGCATCCTGCAAATTGTCACCGTTAATTATTTGCAATGTACAAAGTAGTACAATAAATTCTACAAATAATTTAATTAATTAATTACATATTAAAATCAAAAAAAGTGTGTACCTAATGAAATCATCTTTATGAGAATGAACACTAAATATTCAGGGTGTATTTTCTAACTTATATATATATATATTAATAAACACATAATATTATCTAAAAGTATATATTTACTATGTTTGTTTAATATTTATAAATCTTACGGGATTTAGAAATTGCGCATTTCAGTTGAAACTAAAAATGTTTTACAGAAATGCAATGTGTGCACAAGAATATATTGTGAAATATTGTAAAATAACATTTATACATCAACAGCTATAAAATTACATCAATATTTACACATTTAAAATAAGTATGAATACAGTAATTTCTACATTTTAATTAAATTTGAACATTTTTATATTTAATTATCCTTACATACTTACATTTTTTTGTCGAAGAAATTTTTACTAATTTCTTACATAACTGATATAAAAATTGAAGACGAATGCATCCGATTTACATCCAAAAAATTCAGGGGTGTCACAGGAAAGTGTTTTAGGAATTACTATGATTGCAACTTTGTAGAGAATAAATTACTTATATACAAAGTAATATTGAAACAAGTTACTTATTATTCACATTCAATAAATTGTAAATAAAATGATTATAAATTTAAAAAAAACATACATAGTGAAATCACATATCAAAGTATGTGTTTAAAGTTGATAATTTGTGCTTTTTTTTCTCTTTCATTTAAAAATTGAGTTCAGTTTGAGTCGCTGAAGTGATAAGACGTGTGTTCGGTGCTCCGTCTTAGGTTTTTCTAATTAATTTGTTGTAGTCGTTATTTCTGTACAGTTGTGAACAAACAATAGTAAGTGAAAACAATCAGTAATAGTGCTGGTAGGGCCAACCAGAATGGCGGACGAAGGTTCTTCGGACGGCGAAGAGCATGTTCCACCCGAGAAAAAAGGAAGAGACCAAAGAAAAAACAGAGATAAACATTCCATTCAGAGGGCCAAAAAAGCAAACACGCGGCAAAACGTTACAATCCAGGCAAAGCAAGTGAGTGCGGAGAGTTGCAGTACAAGCAGCAGTAGCAACACGGAATTGAACAGAATAGATGCTGAGCTGGTGGAATACAGAGCAAAACGGCTATATGATATGATGTTTCAACTTATGGGACGGATGGACAGTATGTTTGCTCTCATCACTGAAGTTGTCAAGAAGCTAAATGATTAACCAACAACTGAAAATAGCAGCCTGAAACGCCAACGGCTTGACACAGCAATCCAAGAGCTCATATGGTTTATAAAAACCCATAACTTGGATGTCATTTTAGTTATGAAACTCAATTCACCGAAAAAAGCCATGTCATCATCCCAAATTATACGGTTTATGCGACGAATCATCCTGATGGTACTGCACATGCATGAACGGCCCTGATAATAAGAAGCATTAAGCACTACCCATTGCCAAACTTTCAGGAAGAGCACTTGCAGGCAACAAGCGTCGTTATTCCCAAAGTGGTCTATATCGACCCCCAGGGGTCTATGACAACCTGCAAGAGGTCTACGTCAGTGAAAAAAAATTTTGGGGGTCCATGAAATGAAAATGGGGGTCCACGATAGTGGATCTCAACATACACTGATAGTACCTATTTACTTACATTATACTATCTTATAATATAAAGACATATACATTATTTATAAAAGTACCTATGAAGTAAAAAAAAATTATATATATATTTATAAAATTATGTAAGTTGTAGGATGTAACCATTCGCTTTGTGGTTGCAATACATTTTTAACTTGTAAAAACCTACACATAATGATATACCTGTATCATCTTGTTACAAACATACGCGCAGTCTCAGAGCAAAGATCTTAATAATTATAAAGATGTCCCAATATAAATAATAAATTTACAAAAAATCAATATCAAAAAAGTTTGGGAACCTCTGTTGTAGAGGATTGGAGAGATGCAATTACCATATCTTCAATATACTTCCGAAAACCGACACACAACAACAAACTTGAGCAATTTGTCGAGTTCTTCGACATTCTGGGTAGTCGCTTCATTGCTGCTGGAGAAACCTCACACATCTATCCGCCGGTAAACCAACCTACTGGCCAACTGACAAAGCCAAACAACCAGACGTAATTGGATATCGGCATTGTGAAGGGTATCTCCAATAACTACCTTTCCATAGACACGAGTTTGGACCTATCATCCGACCATTCGCCAATACTTGTGACACTGTCTTCGGAGTTTCTGAAACGGGATAGACCACCAACCCTGAGTACGAATAGAACCAACTGTGACCAGTTCAGAGGATACCTTGAGACAGTGTTAAGGGTGGATATTAGGCTGAAGTCGGAGGAAGACTTGAAAAATGCGGTCGAAGATCTCACCCGATCCATGCAAGCAGCTGCAGGGAGCTTTACACCTTCACCATCATTATAAAATTTGTACAAATTGTTTTTTATAAATGTAAATTACTACTTAATTTCTGTCTTTATTTTTAAATTAAGATTTATTATTGATACTTACTTAAATGCATTAAAAACTATAAGATTAAAATAATTCAGAAAAGAATTGTTGCATTGTATAAATCTACTTAGCAAAAATCAATGAATGGAATATAACAACTTAAAAATCTAACTCACATTTTATTATATTTGACTATAGTGTTACGCAAATTAGAGAAATTAATTTCTAATGCTTATTTATTTTATTAGCATTCATTTGTGCAAAAGTGACTTTTTTTATATTTTCGTACAATTGTCAATGGTAATATAAATTTTAATACTTCCTTTGTTCCAAAATAAGTTTTTTTAGTGGATTAATGAAATAATGAAATTTAATGTATCAGTAGTTATTATTTATGTTAAGCATGAAATCCGCTTGAAGTTTGACATTTGTCAAAAAATTTGTTGTAGTGAACTGGTAAAATTTTGTAACAATTGTTAGTTTGATTTTTTATCCGTTGACAATTTTTTTAAGGTAAATTATTACGGTCGTCATTGTAAAAACTACCCAAAAACTCTATAATTTCCGCAATAAATGAAAAATGGCTATTGGCATAAGTGTATATTTTCAAATGTTTTCCATTTCATGTTATAGTTTAGATGTGAAAAGACACGTTATATATCCCTTTGCATATTTAAATCGGACACTTATTTTGGTTTATTACATAATTATAAGAATTATAAGATGTTTATATGAGATGTTCGCTAATTGATCATCGATTTACAAATAAATTTTTTTATAAATGTACTGAAAAGTGTTAATTTTCCGACCATATTTTATTGTACGAACATACAAATATTTATCAAAAGTGTTCTTTATCCTAATCGTACGCAATCGGAACTGTTTGTTAACAGATTATCCCACTATATAGATTATTAATACTTAGATGATAAAAATATTGTCTTCATAGCATAAATTGGAATATGGAACGTCCAGCGTATCCTTCATTGTTGATACATCTGTAAAAAAATATGTACTTTATTACTCATTCTTATAATAATTAAATTTGATTACTTACTCAGTGCAAGGTAATTTATTTTCTGAATTGCAGAAGTAACCAGATGCACATTTGAATACCATATTAAACTTGTAAACTAAAGTATTATCATTTGGATCACATGAAAATTTAGGTTCATCACAGATCTTCGTTATACATCTATAAACAAAAATAACAGTAGTATTTTTCTTGATATCTTTTGAAACTATAAATTATTTATTTATAAAAAAAAATATATCTAAGAACAATCATACATAAATAAATACAAATAAATACATATTTATAAACGATAGAATTTATGAATTGTTAAATAATTACATATTAGAACCTTGAGTTTCCAGTTTGTTTCGTCACTCTGTATTTTTTTAATCACAAAAAATAAATGAAATCATAACTCTTATAGATATGCAACTACATATACAGCTATTTTATTCTAATTAACTGTGGGGGTCGTTAAATCCGAAAGAGGGTAGAAATAGGGCAAAAGAGTAAAAAAACTGATATTTTAAATGTAATATAAATAAAAATCAAATGATCTTTAATCCAAAAACTCCATAGTTATACACAAAATATAATCTTCCTGAAGCATTTACCAAAATTTTGTAAATTTTAGAGTAAAATTATGAAATTCGACGAAAAGATTGACTTTTTTGTAAATATTACTATTATTACTTGTAAATATAAAAAACTTGTGCAGAAATATGTTTGTCAAAAAGACCAATAAATTTAGTTAAAATTATAATAAAATTAAGAATAATTAAATATATAAGATTTTACTTACGGTGAGCATGGTTGCACAAATTCGGAGTTACAAACTTCGTACTCAATGCAGTTAAATATTCCTTTATCGCCAATTTGAACAGAAGTTTCGCTCAAACATTTAAATTGATCATAGCATGTATCTGATTTCTGGATGCACCTGCAAATAAAATAATTGAGGATTTCTTCAAATATCTATATTAAAAATAATTATACGGTTGGCAATCAACCAAGATTGTATTGCATTGATGAGTCTCCTCGCATTTCACTGTTACATTGTACTCTTTCAAAAATACTTCTTGCAGATTGTTTTTGTTGCAGGTAAATGCAGGACTTTCGCATTTACCGGATGCACCGACGATTGTGCATATAACTCCTAACAAAACTGAAAATAAATTAAAAAAATATTGTTAATTAATAAATTGTGCTAAAATAATTTGATTCGTATTAATTACAATAATTATCTAAGAGATTCTTAAATAATTACACGATTTTAAGAATATATCTAAAGAAAATCATATTTTTTGTGTTAAAATCACGAATTGTTAAAATCCCCTATCCAATAAATTTGTAATTAGTTGTATTCTTAAAAGATTTTACAAATTTTTATTAGATTCAATAAAAAATTAAGTTTCATATACGGACATACGTAAGTCTGGAAAATATCAAAGTTGTTATATAATTATATAATTTAGCAAAACAAAATTTACAGACGTATTTTGGAAACAGAGGCAACTTTACATTTAAATACTCATAATTTCTTAAATATAAGACAAAAAATGATGAAATTATTACTTACCTATGAA